TTTTGTTTAGCTCGTAGCACTGTGTTGTACCTGTATACATGTTTACACCAGAGTACAAGACACACTTGCAATATTTAAAGTTTTAAATTTTAGATCCTGAAGATATCTCCTTACATATGGTCCTTTATCTTCAGGACTTAAACACCATCAACAACAACCTGCCCACAGCCAACCCACCAAAGTTTATCTTCTTTTTCAAACAAATTTCAGCAACAATGCACTTAATTTGAAAACCATTTAACCATAAGATGCAATGTTTTTCTAAAATCCCACAGGGGTAAATGCAAGACCATGGAGTAATAGAAAAATTCTGTAACTGTGAAAATGGATAACTCATCTTACTGAATATGGAATGCTTAATTTCTTACGTGTATATCTTTGAATATTTGATTAAAGACTAAGGAAATGGAGAAATACTGAAACATTAACATAAAATAATGAAAACGAATAAGGTTTACTCTCTTCCATTAAAACGTAAATTTATTAGAAGGATAAAACAGTATCAGGAATCCATATGGAGTTTATATGCCATTTACCCTCCACAATAGAATATTACATAAGATAAAGAATGATAAAAACATTACAGAGACTAGTTTAGCTTTATCCCTCAATTGTGAGTGAGGTTTGATGCTACTAAAAATGTGACAAATTATCAGTACCATGAATAAGATTTGGCCATGTCTGCCAACTTGGCATACCACGATTTAAAAAGCTGTAAACACCAACATCAAAATCAAAAAAATAATTCATCCACTTTAAACTGCTTATTATTGGGTGGTACATCATATCTCCTACATAATATTCAATTCACAAGATATATATGATCTTTGAATAGCCTTATACGTACGTTGTTTTTTCTATGTTCACAAGGACCTGACCATTCCCCTATAAAATCTAGACATCAATATAAGGACACGGATCTATTTAATGTACTTTAATGACTAACTTTAGAGAAATGGCATAACAGTAACAAACTGGAAAACAATACATATCCCCATAAAACCCTCGAATAATTTCAATTTCAGTTATATATATATATATGCAAATAATCAAACACACGACATAAATCTGGAGAATAATTTCATCATGTTTAAAAGTTATTAATGTACATGTAATATTTTGATAGCAATTAATAAGGTATCAAAATGAAAACCCAGGTATAAAACATAAAACTTAAAACATGTAACAGCGTAATTTTATGGAGAACCAACGCTATTATATTATTGAATTTGTGATTTTCCTAATGTCATATGTGTAGTTAATTTCTATATTGGCGTTACATTCGCACTTGCCTCTCTTTTCTTTATTTTTAATTTTTAATTTTGTTTATCCTTGATTTGTTACTCCCTTTATTTGTCCTTATGCTATATTTTTTACCATTTTTTACCATTTTTTACCATTTTTTACCATAAAGAAGCTATGTATTCCTAAAATCTCACAGGGATAATGTGGAAGTGTATAACTCATCTTACTGAAGTTGACATGTTTAATATCTTATGTGTATGTTTGATTAAAGACTAAGGAATTAAAGTACTGAAACAAATGAAAATGGATAAAGTCTGCTCTCTTCCATTAAAACGTAAATTTATTAGAAGGATAATACAGGATCAGGAATCCATATGGAGTATATGCGCCATTTACCCTCCACAATAAAATATTACATAGGAAAAAGAATGATAAAAATATTACAGAGACCATTTTAGCTCAGGCCCTCAATTGTAGAAGTAGTAGTAGTAGTAGTAGTAGTAGTAGTAGTAGTAGTAGTAACGGCTGGATAGCCCATATTCAGCTGTGCCAGGCACGGCACTACTCGTCTTCCATGAGGTCCAGAAAGCATAAAATAAATATCAAACATGACGCATAATTAGTTGCTAAATTAAAGGATATAAAATAAGGTACAACACACAATTATAAATGCTCCACAAAATGGTAGTTGTTTTAAAGGCCTGCGAACGTCCCCCCCCCCCCCCCCCCCCCCACCCCGGTACACAGCATACAAAATCCCGACTCTGGAATAGGTCAAATTATCAAGGTCTGAGTGATTGTGCATGTGAGTGGAACAACGTTAATTCACGTTTAAAACAATTTAGAGTTGACGCAATTCTTACAATTACAGGGAGCCTATTATACTAAGCCGTAGCTCCTCTATACTTAAAAGTTCTTTTCAAAAATCCAGTATTAGGCGTAGGCATATAGAGTCTTCCGCCAAAGCGTAAGTGGTATTCGTGCACAGAGATCCTAAAAAAACTCTGAAATGTAAACAGGGGTCATCTCATTAAGTGATTTTAAGTTAGCAAATGCTGATTTCTCCTGTCGTGTAATGATTCCCAGTTAAGGGCATTGTGAATTTCTGAATTGGGTATATGAGATTCACTATTGATATGTATCAAACGCCCAGCACGATTTTGGAGCTTTTGTAATCTTTCAGTTCAATATTTACAGGCTAAGCCATATGCAACATCTATGTAGTCGAAGTGGGGAAGAACAACTGCAAGGTGCTTCTTAATCTACCGAGAAAGTCTACCATTTGCCCTATTTTTGTTCCCATCTTATCAGTGTGAATGTTTCATTTAATTTGCTCATCACTAATAACACCTAAGTACTTGAAATGTTCCACTTGTTGAATTTGGGTCTTTTGACAGCATGTATGGACTGTAAGGTAGGTTTGATTATATATACTAACAATGTGACAAATGTGAGAAATAGTTAGTACCATCAATAAGACTTGGCCATGTCTGTCAACTTGGCATATCATGATTTAAAAAGCTGTAAACACCAACATCAAAATCACAAAATAATTAATCCACTTTCGATTGCATATTATTGCGATGTTAAATCTCCTAAATTGTATAAGACTGATCTTCATATTATTTTTACATCTTGAATTCACAAGATATATAATCTGTGACTATGCTTACACATAAGTTTTTTTTTCTTTCTGTTCACACAGACCCGATCATTACATTATAAGAACTAGTCAACAATATAAGGACACTGATGTCATTAATGCACTACACTAACTTTAAAGAAATGACGAAACAATTATATGCTGGAAAATAATACATATCCCCATGAAACCCTTAAAAGGATAGATTAAAGTTCAGCAAAATTCTACATCTTGCTGTATCCATTAAATTAATGTAAGAAATTGCTAATGATTTTCTTCGTCAGGTATAATTCTGTAGATTGATCAGGTCTGCTATGTTGTCCATTCCCACTGAAAAATAAAAAGACATTGACAATATTTCAATGTTTATATAAAGATGAATGATAGATTGATGAACTAGATTGGCCACAAACTGCCTGGACTGTAAACGATAGTCTTTACCAGTTAAACTACAAAGTAGATTACGGCTAGATTCGCAGTAGTTCAGAATTCGTTCGAAAATGATTGTTATAGATTCAGACAAGAACCCCTTGAACTACCATCCCCTTGACAACCTACCCACTAGGATGACGCACCATTGGACATGAATCCCCACAGACTACTCTCCCATCCCCTAAGTCTATATCCCCTAGAACAATTGCATCTGGAAATCTATCTCTTTAGGATTTCTACCTCCTAAGACAATGTACCCCTACCCAATCCCCATCTGATATCTAGGATAATTGACCCTGGGTGAACTTGACCTTAAAGGGATAGTTGAGTTCTTGTTTAAGACCGAAAATGCCTTCAAAGTGCAGGGTTATTGCTCTTATTCTTATGACATTTTTAGTGCCCTTTTAGAACCTAAAATTGCTACGAAGACCCCAAAATGTGTGAACTTAGATTTAATACGATCATACCAATTCAGCTCCACTTTCCAAAAAATATGGTGACCGTTAATTAATAATAACAATACACGGACTGGCCGTTTGTGTGTATTATAACCAACACAAATAATCCAACAAAAAGCCAATATTAAGTTCAATTTCAAGTTCAGTTTATTTTAAATCCAATAAAAAATTTACGACAATATAACATTCAAATACAATAATATAAAATGCAATATATATAAAATATGTAATGCGATAAGAACAAATACAACAACAACAGCAGTAACACTAAAAATAATTAATGGGTAGAGAAGGGATGTGAGGGACCAGAAAAGGCCATTGACCTATCTAGGCTGGTCCCCCTTTTCTACAGATCCATAAGTAAAATCTTCAGTAAAGCAAATATTAACAATATAGACATTACATATTGGCATTGGCTGCAAAAAAATGTATAAGGCGCTATCTATTTTTTCAACGGCTGATTCAAAACTACTAATTAATGAAAATTAATGATTCAAATTCAACTATCAGTTAACAGGTATTTGGTGCACACTGTCCAAAAATTTAAACTCTGGACAATTACAATTTAGAAATTTAGCCCGGGGGACTGCAAGGGTACATGCAAGGAGATAATTAACAGTTCAATCTCAACCCTCTCTAAAAAGAATAATGTGGAGCCTGGTCTGACGTCAATTGCCTTCTATGAAACTAATTCTTAGGTAAAACAACCCTCAACTTCAATCCTTGAACAAGGACTATTCCTAACCCTAACTTTTACTCTAATCTAAAACCCAATCATAAGCATAGCACTAAGCCTCTATCATTGGTGAAATATATCCCAGAGCAATTGCCGCCGGAGAAATTGAAGATGGAGGAAACAATGTTGGAGCGTCACTAGTTTTAAAACTTACCTGTGAGAGGGCCTTCACCGTAGATCTCCATTCGAAGACTGATGTGGCCGAACCAGCTGACAGGCATCAAGCGAACATAACGGCAAATCTGGGGCACAGGAAGAGTGTTGGTCACGATGGTGTTGCGGTCAACATTACCGGAGAAGATCTTCAAAGAAACAGGAAAATCAATCCATTTTTGAATAATTATGACTCAATTGATTCTGCAGTTAATTGCAATCAAACCAAAGAGAATCTGATTTAGCATGCTGAATTAAGAAATATGTTTGCATCTACAGTGCCTATTAATTTTTTTCTTTTTGAATGTATTTTCTAATGACAACAATTTCAAAATTAAGAGACCTAGTAATAAAATAGAACAAAATGAAATGGATTGAACATTTTTAACTTGAAGTGCATTGCTTGCTGTAATATATTAACAAATATAGACAGTTCTTCAATCCTACCTAATAACTTTCTCCTCTTATAATTTGTGTATGCGGAATAGTAAATAGTAAACCAAACATGTTTGTCTGTTCTTGAGGTAACGATTGCATTTATTGTTGAAAGAAATTATCCTAATATCAAAATATTAAAATAGTTTTCAATGAGAAATCAAATGCCTTCAAAATTCTTCAAAAATAGAGTCCAGATTATATTAACTAATGAATAATTAGAGAACAAACTTACCCTGTCAGCTCCGGGATTTGTAGAAATTCCCTGCACGGTGTGAAAGGTCGCGCCATCAGTACTACAAGCAAGCTTGTAGCTTGTAACCCACTGGCTTACATCTTCTCGCCCTTGAGTCGCAACTGAAATGACACGGTAAAGGTCCAAAAGATCCACCTTGTAGAAAAAAAAGAATGGGACGAAGAATTCTTGATGTTTATCCTCATATTCATCTAATTTGTCTATCTCCATGAGAAAACTTTTAACCAATGATCATGCACCTATCAATGAATTTACCTTGCTTTCATACAGTTTAGCTCATCAATTACGTAACTATTGTAATCTTATAGTAGCTATACCTAAAGAGAGGAGAAATAAATCTACAAACCCGTAAGTCACCTCAAAAATTGGCGGGAAAAAAAATTGTACGGTGTAAGTGACTTTTTCATTACTGACATGGTGGCAGCGGTGGGATATGAATCCATGGTATAGAAATGACCGGTGACTCTTTTATTGCTGACATGGTGACAGCGGTGGGATATGAATCCATGGTATAGAAATGACTGGTGACTTTTTCATTACTGACATAGTGGTAGCGGTGCAATTTGAACCAATGCCATAGAAATGACAGGTGGCTCTTATTACAGAATTATGGCAGTGTATGGATACCAATTAAATTATGGCCTAAAAATTGACTGTCGACCCTTTTCATTACTGATACGGTGGCAGCAGTGGGACACGAACCGATGCCATAGAAATAAGGGTTGTCTAAATGTTTCGTGTCTGAATTAAAAAACCTTTCGTACCTGGATCCACTGGTTGGCATCGTTTGTTAGTGCAGACCAGGCTCCACGCAGGTTACCGACTCGGGCCAGGTTAAGACGACCTCTCTTTGCACCATGGTCAGCATTATACTCACTGGAAGCTGTCAGACTTGAATCTGGGATGACATAACTCTCAAGGCCCAGAGGGTCAGGGTCATTCAAGTTGGCTGTAAGTTATTAAAAGCGTGACAATTTATAGCACAATTAAGGAAGTGGTGGTCAAATATGCAAATATGAATTTGATTTGATTTGATTTGATTTGATTTGATTTTATTTATTCATCATCAATAACATCAGTGATTAAACATTTGAATACATCGTGAATGGTACATGTTCATAAATGAATATTATAGATCATATTAAAGAAAAACCTAACAAAGTATTGATATGCTAGACATATGTCTTTTCTCATAGAATATAGAAGGTGATGAAAAGGAGCCAAATAATAGCACATGTGCTAGTCGAGTCTGGCCCCTGTTCTTAGCACACACTTGGCAAAAATAAATATATCATTATCAAAAAATAAAACTTGACAGTAGAAGTATACATGTTGAGTAATACCGTAGCACAATTTCTACACTCCAAATATAATTATGAAGAGGATATACCAGGTTAAAAAGTCATAGATACATGTATCTACAGATTATTTATACAAAAAATTGCATTTTTTTGACAAAAAAAAAAAACAAAAATGTAATATGGAGATTATTTACAATATATACATGTGTACTTGCATAATTCAATCACTTATTCATCAAGTAATCGTTGAGATGTTTACGAAAAGTGTTTCTAGACCCTTTGTTTTTGATTTCATCGGGAAGTTCATTCCATAATCGGGTTCCTACACAAGTTACTGAAAATTTGCCTTGTGTTGTTTTATACAGTGGTATACGTAGATGGCCCTTTTCTCTTTTTCTTGTATTGTATCTATGCTCAATTTTATCACAATAATCCGTCAAACAGTGAGGTAAATTATTATGTACTAGGTCATACATAAATGTACATAGAGACAACTCATAGAACTTGTTAATATCTAAGATTTTCAATTCGTAAAACAATGGTGCTGAACGACTCATAAAATGGCTAAATGTGATTGTCCGTATGGCCATCTTCTGTGTATACAGTATGCAATTTAAGTGAGACTTGTAAGTGCTCCCCCACACTTCAATTCCGTATGATATATGAGGTTGAATAAAGGTTTTATACAACAACACTAGGATATTTCTAGGCACAAAATGCCGTAAGCGGAAGAGGATTCCTACTTTTTGTCTGATGCATTTATTAACCATTTGTATGTGGGGTTTCCAAGTCAAGTGTTTATCAATCTTTATCCCAACAAAGAGCGAAGAATCAACTTCTATTATTTCAGCTTCTGATATAGCCAGTTGCCCTTGAACATTAATCTGCCGTCTCTGGTTTCTTATTAGCATATAACTCGTCTTTTGTAAATTAATTGTCAGTTTATTAGCATTACACCAGTCTGAAACAATTTGAAGATTTGTGTTCACTTCAGTCATATCAATTTCTTTTTGCCCTTCAGGAAATGTATGGAATAAGTTTGAGTCATCCGCAAAGAGTCGAAAGTTAAAGTAACGTGTAGCAAATGGCATATCATTAATATAAAGTAGGAAAAGCGTTGGGCCTAGGACAGAGCCTTGCGGTACACCACATGTTAAAGGCAGCATGGGAGATGTTACATTTCCGTACTGTACAAATTGAAATCTTCTATAAAAATAGTCCTTAAACCACTGTAATGCTATTCCTCGTATTCCATAGTGTGAAAGTTTGCTGTATAAAATATCATGATTAATTGTATCAAATGCTTTCTTAAAGTCTACAAATATCCCAAGTGTGATTCTTCCCTCATCCATTGAATTCCTCAAAGTGTTAACTAAATTTATCATTGACAATTTTGTACTGTATTTTTTACGGAAGCCATACTGGTGCTCATATAATACATGATTTTTTTCAAGAAAGTCAAGAAGCCTATTATTTACAATTTTTTTCAAAAACCTTCCCAAGAACAGGTAATACTGAAATAGGTCTATAATTTCCTGCTTCATCTTTAGGTCCTTTCTTATAAACAGGTGTCACTTTTGCTATTTTAAAGGCATCTGGGAATTTACCAGAGGTGAAAGACAGATTGAAAATAAATGTAAGGGGAGAAGTTACATAGTGCACAGCATCTTTTATCAGCTTGATTGGCATATTATCATACCCACTAGCTTTCTTTACATTCAAGGCTATTAAATGGTTGTTAACCTCAGTCTCAGTAACTGGTTTCCAGAAGAAAGATTTGTCTACACCATCGTCTAAAACTTTCTCTGTATTACGATTTGTGTTTGGTATGGCATTCGCCAAATTTGGACCAACATTAACAAAGAAGTCATTAAATGCATTTGCAATATCTTGTTCATTACACAGGGTTTCATTAGTACCAGTATCATTCACACACAATTTATCCACCACTGTTGGCTTAAACGAATTGTTTCCACCACTTAAAATCTCGTTTACAGTCTTCCATGTTTTGCTAGTATCACCCTTATTTTCAAGGAATATCCTACTATAGTAATTTCTCCTTGAGTTTCTGATTATTGTAGTTAACATATTCCTGTACTTCTTGTATGTTGTTAAATAGACAGGATTGTGGTTGGTGGCAAGAACCTGTGAATACATTGTATGTTTCTTTTTTATGGAATTCATTATAGCTTTTGTAATCCAAGGTTTCTTAGGTTCGTTCTTTCTCCTTTTACCGTGTTGAGCTACAACTGGTGCATGCTCATCACACACTTTTGTCATGATTTCACAAAAACGGGAGTATGCGAGATCAGCATCATCCGCTGCATAAACTGATTCCCATGTTATATTGGCAAGCTCAGCATGGAATTTTGTAACATCATAGTTCTTGTAAGAACGAGACATTAATTTTCCTCGGCAAGACTTTTTCTTAAATTGTATATTAGACTTAAAAATGGTAAAGATCGGAAAGTGGTCTGTAACGTCAGATTCAATTATTCCTGCATGATTACTGGGAACATTCATATTGGTATATATATGATCAATCAAAGAGAAGCCATGTTGCGTTACTCTAGTAGGAAAATTAATCAATTGATGCATGCCGATACATTGCATGGAGGTGAGAAAGTTATCAGCTGCCATTTCATCGCCTAGAAGATTGATATTGAAGTCTCCAGTTAGCACACATTGACTTTTGTCTAATTTCAGATCATGTACAATACTTAGCAGACTATCCTGAAACTCATGAATATCTGTATTTGGCTTGCGATAGATGACACCAATAATGATCTTCTTTTCATTAATTACTACTTCCAACCAAAGTGATTCAGCATGTGCTACTTCAAAATTTCCCAAAAGCCTGTATTTAAGGGAAGAGTGAATGTATGCACCAACACCTCCACCTCTTAAAGTATGATTGCGGCATTTCACCTCTAAAGTATAGCCTTGTATGCCCAAGATGGATGTGTCTGGTACGCTCCACACTTCAGATAAACATATTATATCAAATTTTGATTTGATACTACATTCGTATAACAGTTTTAGGTTTTCTATATTTCTATTCAAAGATCTGATATTGACATGTGTAAGAGAAAATGCATTTTCAGTTTTGGTTTGCAGAACATCATCAAAATTAACAGGAGTTAATTTGTGTGAACTAAGACACAGATTGAGTTCATTGTCCTCCATTTTAAATGAGTGGTCCAATCAGATGAACATGCAATAAGCCAATTTGTAGTTACAATCTGGGTATGAGCAAACAAAAGGTCAGTTTACGGTATTTTTAAGGCCCTCACCGAGACAACTACGTGATGTTTGCTTATTAATACACAAGCAAAACATTCTATGTTCTACAGGTAGATGTATTCCTTTGAAAAGGGGTAATCAAAAACTATTCAGAAAGACTTCAACTGTGGACAATTACAATTTAGAAATTTACCCCGGAGGACTGGGGTACATCCTAAGAGATCCTCAAAAGTTCCGTCTCAACCCTCTCTAAAAAGAATAATGTGGAGCCCGGCCTTGCGTCAATTGCCTTCTACAACACGAATTCGAAGATACAACAATCCTCAACACTCAATGCCATATATCATAAACTAACTGAAATCTTAACTTCAGTCCTTGAACAAGGACTATTCCTAACCCTTACTTTTAACCTAACCTAAAACGCAATCATAACCATAACACTAAGCCTCTATCATTGGTGAAATATATCCCAGAGCAATTGCCGCCGAAGAAATTAATGATGGAGGAAACAATGTTGGAGCGTCACTAGTTTTAAAACTTACCTGTGAGAGGGCCTTCACCGTAGATCTCCATTCGAAGACTGATGTGGCCGAACCAGCTGACAGGCATCAAGCGAACATAACGGCAAATCTGGGGCACAGGAAGAGTGTTGGTCACGATGGTGTTGCGGTCAACATTACCGGTGAAGATCTTCAAAGAAAAAGGAAAATCAATCCATTTTTTGAATAATTATGACTCAATTGATTCTGCCATTAATTGCAATCAAACCAAAGAGAATCTGATTTAGCATGCTGAATTAAGAAATATGTTTGCATCTACAGTGCCTATTTATTTGTTTCTTTTTGAATTTATTTTCTAATGACAACAATTTCAAAATTAAGAGACCTAGTAATAAAATAGAACAAAATGAAATGGATTGAACATTTTTAACTTGAAGTGCATTGCTTGCTGTAATATATTAACAAATATAAACAGTTCTTCAATCCTACCTAATAACTTTCTCCTCTTATACTTTGTGTATGCGGAATAGTAAATGGTAAACCAAACATGTTTGTCTGTTCTTGAGGTAACGATTGTATTTATTGTTGAAAGAAATTATCCTAATATCAAAATATTAAAATAGTTTTCAATGAGAAATCAAATGCCTTCAAAATTCTTCAAGAACAGAGTTAGGGTAATATTAAAAAAATGAATAATTAGAGAACAAACTTACCCTGTCAGCTCCAGGATTTGTAGAAATGCCCTGCACGGTGTGAAAGGTCGTGCCATCAGTACTACAAGCAAGCTTGTAGCTTGTAACCCACTGGCTAACATCTTCTCGCCCTTGAGTCGCAACTGAAATGACACGGTAAAGGTCCAAAAGATCCACCTTGTAGAAAGAAAAGAATGGGACGAAGAATTATTGATGTTTATCCTCATATTCATCTAATTTGTCTATCTCCATGAGAAAACTTTTAACCAATGATCATGCACCTATCAATGAATTTACCTTGCTTTCATACAGTTCAGCTCATCAATTATGTAACTATGGCAATCTTATAGTAGCTTTACCTAAAGAGAGGAGAAATAAATCTACAAACCCGTAAGTCACCTCAAAAATTGGCGGGAAAAACAATTGTACGGTGTAAGTGACTTTTTCACTACTGACATGGTGGCAGCGGTGGGATATGAATCCATGGTATAGAAATGACTGGTGACTCTTTCATTAATGACCTGGTGGTAGCGGTGGGATACGAATACATGGTATAGAAATGACCGGTGACTCTTTTATTGCTGACATGGTGACAGCAGTGGGATATGAATCCATGGTATAGAAATGACTGGTGACTTTTTCATTACTGACATAGTGGTAGCGGTGCAATTTGAACCAATGCCATAGAAATGACAGGTGGCTCTTATTAAAGAATTATGGCAGTGTATAGATACAAATTAAATTATGGCCTAAAAATTGACTGTCGACCCTTTTCATTACTAATACGGTGGCAGCAGTGGGACACGAACCGATGCCATAGAAATAAGGGTTGTCTAAATGTTTCGTGTCTGAATTAAACTAGATGGAATTCGACTGCGCGCAGTCGAAAATGATGCCTCCGTCATAGAGCAATTTTACAAACCAAAACAGAAGAAATTTTTCAAATTCAAGTTCAATTGTAATCCATTAACAGGTTCTCAGAATATCGTGATTACAAACAATTTCTCATATACATATATGACCCTTTGAACTTTGACCTCATGATCCTAATATCTACTCAGCTCATTGGCTCTGCAAGATATCCAGAGTTAAATAGTAATCCATCTGTCAGTTCTAATGAGAATGCGTTAACAAGCTATTTTTGCATACATAATGAGCCCATGACCTTGGACCTTATGAACCAAGAATCTACACAGTTCATTGGCTCTGCAAGATACATAAATGATCTAAGTTTGGCAGGAATCCATCAATCTGTTCTAATGATAACGCGATCACAAGCTGTTTTTGCATACATAACGGGCGCTGTGACCTTTGACCTCGTTACCCAAAATCTAATAAGTTCATCGGCTCTGCAAGTAACATACATGACCTAAGTTTGGCAGGAATCAATCAATCGGTTCTTGAGATAACGCGATCACAAGCTGTTTTTGCATACATAATGAGCCCTGTGACCTTTGACCTTTGACCTCGTGACCCCAAAATCTAATCAGTTCATTGGCTCTGCAAGATACATACATGACCAAAGTTTGGCAGGAATCCATCTATCGGTTCTTCAGATAACGCGATCACGAGCCGTTTTGCATACATAATGAGCCCTGTGACCTTTGACCTTTGACCTCGTGACCCCAAAATCTAATCAGTTCATCGACTCTACAAGATACATACATGACCAAAGTTTGGCAGGAATCCATCCATCGGTTCTTCAGATAACGCGATCACGAGCTGTTTTTGCATACATAATGAGCCCTGTGACCTTTGACCTTTGACCTCGTGACCCCAAAATCTAATCAGTTCATCGACTTTGCTAGATACATATATGACCAAAGTTTGGTAGGAATCCATTGATCCGTTCTTCAGATAACGTGATCACGAGAACGGGACGTACGTACAGACGTACGTACAGACGTACGGACGGACGGACGGACGGACGGACGGACGGACGGACGGACAACCCGAAAACATAATGCCTCCGGCTACTTCGTAACGGAGGCATAAAAACCTTTCGTACCTGGATCCACTGGTTGGCATCGTTTGTTCGTGCAGACCAGGCTCCACGCAGGTTACCGACTCGGGCCAGGTTAAGACGACCTCTCTTTGCACCATGGTCAGCATTATACTCACTGGAAGCTGTCAGACTTGAATCTGGGATGACATAACTCTCAAGGCCCAGAGGGTCAGGGTCATTCAAGTTGGCTGTAAATTATTAAAAGCGTGACAATTTATAGCACAATTTATGAAGTGGTGGTAAAATATGCAAATATGAATGAGTGGTCCAATCAGATGAACATGCAATAAGCCAATTTGTAGTTACAATCTGGGTATGAGCAAACAAAAGGTCATTTTAAGGTATTTTTAAGGCCCTCACCGAGACAACTACGTGATGTTTGCTTTTTAATACACAAGCAAAACATTCTATGTTCTACAGGTAGATGTATTCCTTTGAAAAGGGGTAATCAAAAACTATTCAGAAAGACTTCAACTGTGGACAATTACAATTTAGAAATTTACCCTGGAGGACTGGGGTACATCCTAAGAGATCCTCAAAAGTTCCGTCTCAACCCTCTCTAAAAAGAATAATGTGGAGCCCGGCCTTGCGTCAATTGCCTTCTACAACACGAATTCGAAGATACAACAATCCTCAACACTCAATGCCATATATCATAAACTAACTGAAATCTTAACTTCAGTCCTTGAACAAGGACTATTCCTAACCCTTACTTTTAACCTAACCTAAAACCTAATCATAACCATAACACTAAGCCTCTATCATTGGTGAAATATATCCTAGAGCAATTGCCGCCGAAGAAATTAATGATGGAGGAAACAATGTTGGAGCGTCACTAGTTTTAAAACTTACCTGTGAGAGGGCCATCACCGTAGATCTCCATTCGAAGACTGATGTGGCCGAACCAGCTGACAGGCATCAAGCGAACATAACGGCAAATCTGGGACACAGGAAGAGTGTTGGTCACGATGGTGTTGCGGTCAACATTACCGGTGAAGATCTTCAAAGAAACAGGAAAATCAATCCATTTTTGAATAATTATGACACAATTAATTCTGCAGTTAATTGCAATCAAACCAAAGAGAATCTGATTTAGCATGCTGAATTAAGAAATATGTTTGCATCTACAGTGCCTATTTATTTGTTTCTTTTTGAATGTATTTTCTAATGACAACAATTTCAAAATTAAGAGACCTAGTAATAAAATAGAACAAAATGAAATGGATTGAACATTTTTAACTTGAAGTGCATTGCTTGCTGTAATATATTAACAAATATAAACAGTTCTTCAATCCTACCTAATAACTTTCTCCTCTTATACCTTGTGTATGCGGAATAGTAAATAGTAAACCAAACATGTTTGTCTGTTCTTGAGGTAACGATTGCACTTATTGTTGAAAGAAATTATCCTAATATCAAAATATTAAAATAGTTTTCAATGAGAAATCAAATGCCTTCAAAATTCTTCAAGAACAGAGTCAGGGTAATATTAACTAATGAATAATTAGAGAACAAACTTACCCTGTCAGCTCCGGGATTTGTAGAAATTCCCTGCACGGTGTGAAAGGTTGTGCCATCAGTACTACAAGCAAGCTTGTAGCTTGTAACCCACTGGCTTACATCTTCTCGCCCTTGAGTCGCAACTGAAATGACACGGTAAAGGTCCAAAAGATCCACCTTGTAGAAAGAAAAGAATGGGACGAAGAATTCTTGATGTTTATCCTCATATTCATCTAATTTGTCTATCTCCATGAGAAAACTTTTAACCAATGATCATGCACCTATCAATGAATTTACCTTGCTTTCATACAGTTTAGCTCATCAATTATGTAACTAGTGTAATCTTATAGTAGCTTTACCTAAAGAGAGGAGAAATAAATCTACCAACCCGTAAGTCACCTCCAAAATTGGCGGGAAAAAAAATTGTACGGTGTAAGTGACTTTTTCATTACTGACATGGTGGCAGCGGTGGGATATGAATCCATGGTATAGAAATGACTGGTGACTCATTTATTGCTGACATGGTGACAGCGGTGGGATATGAATCCATGGTATAGAAATGACTGGTGACTCTTTCATTAATGACCTGGTGGTAGCGGTGGGATATGAAAACATGGTATAGAAATGACTGGTGACTCTTTTATTGCTGACATGGTGACAGCGGTGGGATATGAATCCATGGTATAGAAATGACTGGTGACTTTTTCATTACTGACATAGTGGTAGCGGTGCAATTTGAACCAATGCCATAGAAATGACAGGTGGCTCTTATTACAGAATTATGGCAGTGTATGGATACAAATTAAATTATGGCCTAAAAATTGACTGTCGACCCTTTTCATTACTGATACGGTGGCAGCAGTGGGACACGAACCGATGCCATAGAAATAAGGGTTGTCTAAATGTTTCGTGTCTGAATTAAAAAACCTTTCGTACCTGGATCCACTGGTTGGCATCGTTTGTTCGTGCAGACCAGGCTCCACGCAGGTTACCGACTCGGGCCAGGTTAAGACGACCTCTCTTTGCACCATGGTCAGCATTATACTCACTGGAAGCTGTCAGACTTGAATCTGGGATGACATAACTCTCAAGGCCCAGAGGGTCAGGGTCATTCAAGTTGGCTTTAAGTTATTAAAAGCGTGACAATTTATAGCACAATGAAGGAAGTGGTGGTAAAATATGCAAATATGAATGAGTGGTCCAATCAGATGAACATGCAATAAGCCAATTTGAAGTTACAATCTGGGTATGAGCAAACAAAAGGTCATTTTAAGGTATTTTAAAGGCCCTCACCGAGACAACTACGTGATGTTTGCTTATTAATACATAAGCAAAACATTCTATGTTCAACAGGTAGATGTATTCCTTTGAAAAGGGGTAATCAAAGACTATTCAGAAAGACTTCAACTGTGGACAATTACAATTTAGAAATTTACCCCGGAGGACTGGGGTACATCCTAAGAGATCCTCAAAAGTTCCGTCTCAACCCTCTCTAAAAAGAATAATGTGGAGCCCGGCCTTGCGTCAATTGCCTTCTACAACACGAATTCGAAGATACAACAATCCTCAACACTCAATGCCATATATCATAAACTAACTGAAATCTTAACTTCAGTCCTTGAAGAAGGACTATTCCAAACCCTTACTTTTAACCTAACCTAAAACCTAATCATAACCATAACACTAAGCCTCTATCATTGGTGAAATATATCCTAGAGCAATTGCCGCCGAAGAAATTAATGATGGAGGAAACAATGTTGGAGCGTCACTAGTTTTAAAACTTACCTGTGAGAGGGCCTTCACCGTAGATCTCCATTCGAAGACTGATGTGGCCGAACCAGCTGACAGGCATCAAGCGAACATAACGGCAAATCTGGGGCACAGGAAGAGTGTTGGTCACGATGGTGTTGCGGTCAACATTACCGGTGAAGATCTTTAAAGAAAAAGGAAAATCAATCCATTTTTTGAATAATTATGACTCAATTGATTCTGCCATTAATTGCAATCAAACCAAAGAGAATCTGATTTAGCATGCTGAATTAAGAAATATGTTTGCATCTACAGTGCCTATTTATTTGTTTCTTTTTGAATTTATTTTCTAATGACAACAATTTCAAAATTAAGAGACCTAGTAATAAAATAGAACAAAATGAAATGGATTGAACATTTTTAACTTGAAGTGCATTGCTTGCTGTAATATATTAACAAATATAAACAGTTCTTCAATCCTACCTAATAACTTTCTCCTCTTATACTTTGTGTATGCGGAATAGTAAATGGTAAACCAAACATGTTTGTCTGTTCTTGAGGTAACGATTGTATTTATTGTTGAAAGAAATTATCCTAATATCAAAATATTAAAATAGTTTTCAATGAGAAATCAAATGCCTTCAAAATTCTTCAAGAACAGAGTTAGGGTAATATTAAAAAAATGAATAATTAGAGAACAAACTTACCCTGTCAGCTCCAGGATTTGTAGAAATGCCCTGCACGGTGTGAAAGGTCGTGCCATCAGTACTACAAGCAAGCTTGTAGCTTGTAACCCACTGGCTAACATCTTCTCGCCCTTGAGTCGCAACTGAAATGACACGGTAAAGGTCCAAAAGATCCACCTTGTAGAAAGAAAAGAATGGGACGAAGAATTATTGATGTTTATCCTCATATTCATCTAATTTGTCTATCTCCATGAGAAAACTTTTAACCAATGATCATGCACCTATCAATGAATTTACCTTGCTTTCATACAGTTCAGCTCATCAATTATGTAACTATGGCAATCTTATAGTAGCTTTACCTAAAGAGAGGAGAAATAAATCTACAAACCCGTAAGTCACCTCAAAAATTGGCGGGAAAAACAATTGTACGGTGTAAGTGACTTTTTCACTACTGACATGGTGGCAGCGGTGGGATATGAATCCATGGTATAGAAATGACTGGTGACTCTTTCATTAATGACCTGGTGGTAGCGGTGGGATACGAATACATGGTATAGAAATGACCGGTGACTCTTTTATTGCTGACATGGTGACAGCAGTGGGATATGAATCCATGGTATAGAAATGACTGGTGACTTTTTCATTACTGACATAGTGGTAGCGGTGCAATTTGAACCAATGCCATAGAAATGACAGGTGGCTCTTATTAAAGAATTATGGCAGTGTATAGATACAAATTAAATTATGGCCTAAAAATTGACTGTCGACCCTTTTCATTACTAATACGGTGGCAGCAGTGGGACACGAACCGATGCCATAGAAATAAGGGTTGTCTAAATGTTTCGTGTCTGAATTAAAAAACCTTTCGTACCTGGATCCACTGGTTGGCATCGTTTGTTCGTGCAGACCAGGCTCCACGCAGGTTACCGACTCGGGCCAGGTTAAGACGACCTCTCTTTGCACCATGGTCAGCATTATACTCACTGGAAGCTGTCAGACTTGAATCTGGGATGACATAACTCTCAAGGCCCAGAGGGTCAGGGTCATTCAAGTTGGCTGTAAATTATTAAAAGCGTGACAATTTATAGCACAATTTATGAAGTGGTGGTAAAATATGCAAATATGAATGAGTGGTCCAATCAGATGAACATGCAATAAGCCAATTTGAAGTTACAATCTGGGTATGAGCAAACAAAAGGTCATTTTAAGGTATTTTAAAGGCCCTCACCGAGACAACTACGTGATGTTTGCTTATTAATACATAAGCAAAACATTCTATGTTCAACAGGTAGATGTATTCCTTTGAAAAGGGGTAATCAAAGACTATTCAGAAAGACTTCAACTGTGGACAATTACAATTTAGAAATTTACCCCGGAGGACTGGGGTACATCCTAAGAGATCCTCAAAAGTTCCGTCTCAACCCTCTCTAAAAAGAATAATGTGGAGCCCGGCCTTGCGTCAATTGCCTTCTACAACACGAATTCGAAGATACAACAATCCTCAACACTCAATGCCATATATCATAAACTAACTGAAATCTTAACTTCAGTCCTTGAAGAAGGACTATTCCAAACCCTTACTTTTAACCTAACCTAAAACCTAATCATAACCATAACACTAAGCCTCTATCATTGGTGAAATATATCCTAGAGCAATTGCCGCCGAAGAAATTAATGATGGAGGAAACAATGTTGGAGCGTCACTAGTATTAAAACTTACCTGTGAGAGGGCCTTCACCGTAGATCTCCATTCGAAGACTGATGTGGCCGAACCAGCTGACAGGCATCAAGCGAACATAACGGCAAATCTGGGGCACAGGAAGAGTGTTGGTCACGATGGTGTTGCGGTCAACATTACCGGTGAAGATCTTCAAAGAAACAGGAAAATCAATCCATTTTTTGAATAATTATGACTCAATTAATTCTGCAATTAATTGCAATCAAACCAAAGAGAATCTGATTTAGCATGCTGAATTAAGAAATATGTTTGCATCTACAGTGCCTATTTATTTGTTTCTTTTTGAATTTATTTTCTAATGACAACAATTTCAAAATTAAGAGACCTAGTAATAAAATAGAACAAAATGAAATGGATTGAACATTTTTAACTTGAAGTGCATTGCTTGCTGTAATATATTAACAAATATAAACAGTTCTTCAATCCTACCTAATAACTTTCTCCTCTTATACTTTGTGTATGCGGAATAGTAAATAGTAAACCAAACATGTTTGTCTGTTCTTGAGGTAACGATTGCATTTATTGTTGAAAGAAATTATCCTAATATCAAAATATTAAAATAGTTTTCAATGAGAAATCAAATGCCTTCAAAATTCTTCAAGAATAGAGTCAAGGTAATATTAAAAAATGAATAATTAGAGAACAAACTTACCCTGTCAGCTCCAGGATTTGTAGAAATGCCCTGCACGGTGTGAAAGGTCGTGCCATCAGTACTACAAGCAAGCTTGTAGCTTGTAACCCACTGGCTAACATCTTCTCGCCCTTGAGTCGCAACTGAAATGACACGGTAAAGGTCCAAAAGATCCACCTTGTAGAAAGAAAAGAATGGGACGAAGAATTATTGATGTTTATCCTCATATTCATCTAATTTGTCTATCTCCATGAGAAAACTTTTAACCAATGATCATGCACCTATCAATGAATTTACCTTGCTTTCATACAGTTCAGCTCATCAATTATGTAACTATGGCAATCTTATAGTAGCTTTACCTAAAGAGAGGAGAAATAAATCTACAAACCCGTAAGTCACCTCAAAAATTGGCGGGAAAAACAATTGTACGGTGTAAGTGACTTTTTCACTACTGACATGGTGGCAGCGGTGGGATATGAATCCATGGTATAGAAATGACTGGTGACTCTTTCATTAATGACCTGGTGGTAGCGGTGGGATACGAATACATGGTATAGAAATGACCGGTGACTCTTTTATTGCTGACATGGTGACAGCAGTGGGATATGAATCCATGGTATAGAAATGACTGGTGACTTTTTCATTACTGACATAGTGGTAGCGGTGCAATTTGAACCAATGCCATAGAAATGACAGGTGGCTCTTATTAAAGAATTATGGCAGTGTATAGATACAAATTAAATTATGGCCTAAAAATTGACTGTCGACCCTTTTCATTACTAATACGGTGGCAGCAGTGGGACACGAACCGATGCCATAGAAATAAGGGTTGTCTAAATGTTTCGTGTCTGAATTAAAAAACCTTTCGTACCTGGATCCACTGGTTGGCATCGTTTGTTCGTGCAGACCAGGCTCCACGCAGGTTACCGACTCGGGCCAGGTTAAGACGACCTCTCTTTGCACCATGGTCAGCATTATACTCACTGGAAGCTGTCAGACTTGAATCTGGGATGACATAACTCTCAAGGCCCAGAGGGTCAGGGTCATTCAAGTTGGCTGTAAATTATTAAAAGCGTGACAATTTATAGCACAATTTATGAAGTGGTGGTAAAATATGCAAATATGAATGAGTGGTCCAATCAGATGAACATGCAATAAGCCAATTTGTAGTTACAATCTGGGTATGAGCAAACAAAAGGTCATTTTAAGGTATTTTTAAGGCCCTCACCGAGACAACTACGTGATGTTTGCTTTTTAATACACAAGCAAAACATTCTATGTTCTACAGGTAGATGTATTCCTTTGAAAAGGGGTAATCAAAAACTATTCAGAAAGACTTCAACTGTGGACAATTACAATTTAGAAATTTACCCTGGAGGACTGGGGTACATCCTAAGAGATCCTCAAAAGTTCCGTCTCAACCCTCTCTAAAAAGAATAATGTGGAGCCCGGCCTTGCGTCAATTGCCTTCTACAACACGAATTCGAAGATACAACAATCCTCAACACTCAATGCCATATATCATAAACTAACTGAAATCTTAACTTCAGTCCTTGAACAAGGACTATTCCTAACCCTTACTTTTAACCTAACCTAAAACCTAATCATAACCATAACACTAAGCCTCTATCATTGGTGAAATATATCCTAGAGCAATTGCCGCCGAAGAAATTAATGATGGAGGAAACAATGTTGGAGCGTCACTAGTTTTAAAACTTACCTGTGAGAGGGCCATCACCGTAGATCTCCATTCGAAGACTGATGTGGCCGAACCAGCTGACAGGCATCAAGCGAACATAACGGCAAATCTGGGACACAGGAAGAGTGTTGGTCACGATGGTGTTGCGGTCAACATTACCGGTGAAGATCTTCAAAGAAACAGGAAAATCAATCCATTTTTGAATAATTATGACACAATTAATTCTGCAGTTAATTGCAATCAAACCAAAGAGAATCTGATTTAGCATGCTGAATTAAGAAATATGTTTGCATCTACAGTGCCTATTTATTTGTTTCTTTTTGAATGTATTTTCTAATGACAACAATTTCAAAATTAAGAGACCTAGTAATAAAATAGAACAAAATGAAATGGATTGAACATTTTTAACTTGAAGTGCATTGCTTGCTGTAATATATTAACAAATATAAACAGTTCTTCAATCCTACCTAATAACTTTCTCCTCTTATACCTTGTGTATGCGGAATAGTAAATAGTAAACCAAACATGTTTGTCTGTTCTTGAGGTAACGATTGCACTTATTGTTGAAAGAAATTATCCTAATATCAAAATATTAAAATAGTTTTCAATGAGAAATCAAATGCCTTCAAAATTCTTCAAGAACAGAGTCAGGGTAATATTAACTAATGAATAATTAGAGAACAAACTTACCCTGTCAGCTCCGGGATTTGTAGAAATTCCCTGCACGGTGTGAAAGGTTGTGCCATCAGTACTACAAGCAAGCTTGTAGCTTGTAACCCACTGGCTTACATCTTCTCGCCCTTGAGTCGCAACTGAAATGACACGGTAAAGGTCCAAAAGATCCACCTTGTAGAAAGAAAAGAATGGGACGAAGAATTCTTGATGTTTATCCTCATATTCATCTAATTTGTCTATCTCCATGAGAAAACTTTTAACCAATGATCATGCACCTATCAATGAATTTACCTTGCTTTCATACAGTTTAGCTCATCAATTATGTAACTAGTGTAATCTTATAGTAGCTTTACCTAAAGAGAGGAGAAATAAATCTACCAACCCGTAAGTCACCTCCAAAATTGGCGGGAAAAAAAATTGTACGGTGTAAGTGACTTTTTCATTACTGACATGGTGGCAGCGGTGGGATATGAATCCATGGTATAGAAATGACTGGTGACTCATTTATTGCTGACATGGTGACAGCGGTGGGATATGAATCCATGGTATAGAAATGACTGGTGACTCTTTCATTAATGACCTGGTGGTAGCGGTGGGATATGAAAACATGGTATAGAAATGACTGGTGACTCTTTTATTGCTGACATGGTGACAGCGGTGGGATATGAATCCATGGTATAGAAATGACTGGTGACTTTTTCATTACTGACATAGTGGTAGCGGTGCAATTTGAACCAATGCCATAGAAATGACAGGTGGCTCTTATTACAGAATTATGGCAGTGTATGGATACAAATTAAATTATGGCCTAAAAATTGACTGTCGACCCTTTTCATTACTGATACGGTGGCAGCAGTGGGACACGAACCGATGCCATAGAAATAAGGGTTGTCTAAATGTTTCGTGTCTGAATTAAAAAACCTTTCGTACCTGGATCCACTGGTTGGCATCGTTTGTTCGTGCAGACCAGGCTCCACGCAGGTTACCGACTCGGGCCAGGTTAAGACGACCTCTCTTTGCACCATGGTCAGCATTATACTCACTGGAAGCTGTCAGACTTGAATCTGGGATGACATAACTCTCAAGGCCCAGAGGGTCAGGGTCATTCAAGTTGGCTTTAAGTTATTAAAAGCGTGACAATTTATAGCACAATGAAGGAAGTGGTGGTAAAATATGCAAATATGAATGAGTGGTCCAATCAGATGAACATGCAATAAGCCAATTTGAAGTTACAATCTGGGTATGAGCAAACAAAAGGTCATTTTAAGGTATTTTAAAGGCCCTCACCGAGACAACTACGTGATGTTTGCTTATTAATACATAAGCAAAACATTCTATGTTCAACAGGTAGATGTATTCCTTTGAAAAGGGGTAATCAAAGACTATTCAGAAAGACTTCAACTGTGGACAATTACAATTTAGAAATTTACCCCGGAGGACTGGGGTACATCCTAAGAGATCCTCAAAAGTTCCGTCTCAACCCTCTCTAAAAAGAATAATGTGGAGCCCGGCCTTGCGTCAATTGCCTTCTACAACACGAATTCGAAGATACAACAATCCTCAACACTCAATGCCATATATCATAAACTAACTGAAATCTTAACTTCAGTCCTTGAAGAAGGACTATTCCAAACCCTTACTTTTAACCTAACCTAAAACCTAATCATAACCATAACACTAAGCCTCTATCATTGGTGAAATATATCCTAGAGCAATTGCCGCCGAAGAAATTAATGATGGAGGAAACAATGTTGGAGCGTCACTAGTTTTAAAACTTACCTGTGAGAGGGCCTTCACCGTAGATCTCCATTCGAAGACTGATGTGGCCGAACCAGCTGACAGGCATCAAGCGAACATAACGGCAAATCTGGGGCACAGGAAGAGTGTTGGTCACGATGGTGTTGCGGTCAACATTACCGGTGAAGATCTTCAAAGAAAAAGGAAAATCAATCCATTTTTTGAATAATTATGACTCAATTGATTCTGCCATTAATTGCAATCAAACCAAAGAGAATCTGATTTAGCATGCTGAATTAAGAAATATGTTTGCATCTACAGTGCCTATTTATTTGTTTCTTTTTGAATTTATTTTCTAATGACAACAATTTCAAAATTAAGAGACCTAGTAATAAAATAGAACAAAATGAAATGGATTGAACATTTTTAACTTGAAGTGCATTGCTTGCTGTAATATATTAACAAATATAAACAGTTCTTCAATCCTACCTAATAACTTTCTCCTCTTATACTTTGTGTATGCGGAATAGTAAATGGTAAACCAAACATGTTTGTCTGTTCTTGAGGTAACGATTGTATTTATTGTTGAAAGAAATTATCCTAATATCAAAATATTAAAATAGTTTTCAATGAGAAATCAAATGCCTTCAAAATTCTTCAAGAACAGAGTTAGGGTAATATTAAAAAAATGAATAATTAGAGAACAAACTTACCCTGTCAGCTCCAGGATTTGTAGAAATGCCCTGCACGGTGTGAAAGGTCGTGCCATCAGTACTACAAGCAAGCTTGTAGCTTGTAACCCACTGGCTAACATCTTCTCGCCCTTGAGTCGCAACTGAAATGACACGGTAAAGGTCCAAAAGATCCACCTTGTAGAAAGAAAAGAATGGGACGAAGAATTATTGATGTTTATCCTCATATTCATCTAATTTGTCTATCTCCATGAGAAAACTTTTAACCAATGATCATGCACCTATCAATGAATTTACCTTGCTTTCATACAGTTCAGCTCATCAATTATGTAACTATGGCAATCTTATAGTAGCTTTACCTAAAGAGAGGAGAAATAAATCTACAAACCCGTAAGTCACCTCAAAAATTGGCGGGAAAAACAATTGTACGGTGTAAGTGACTTTTTCACTACTGACATGGTGGCAGCGGTGGGATATGAATCCATGGTATAGAAATGACTGGTGACTCTTTCATTAATGACCTGGTGGTAGCGGTGGGATACGAATACATGGTATAGAAATGACCGGTGACTCTTTTATTGCTGACATGGTGACAGCAGTGGGATATGAATCCATGGTATAGAAATGACTGGTGACTTTTTCATTACTGACATAGTGGTAGCGGTGCAATTTGAACCAATGCCATAGAAATGACAGGTGGCTCTTATTAAAGAATTATGGCAGTGTATAGATACAAATTAAATTATGGCCTAAAAATTGACTGTCGACCCTTTTCATTACTAATACGGTGGCAGCAGTGGGACACGAACCGATGCCATAGAAATAAGGGTTGTCTAAATGTTTCGTGTCTGAATTAAAAAACCTTTCGTACCTGGATCCACTGGTTGGCATCGTTTGTTCGTGCAGACCAGGCTCCACGCAGGTTACCGACTCGGGCCAGGTTAAGACGACCTCTCTTTGCACCATGGTCAGCATTATACTCACTGGAAGCTGTCAGACTTGAATCTGGGATGACATAACTCTCAAGGCCCAGAGGGTCAGGGTCATTCAAGTTGGCTGTAAATTATTAAAAGCGTGACAATTTATAGCACAATTTATGAAGTGGTGGTAAAATATGCAAATATGAATGAGTGGTCCAATCAGATGAACATGCAATAAGCCAATTTGAAGTTACAATCTGGGTATGAGCAAACAAAAGGTCATTTTAAGGTATTTTAAAGGCCCTCACCGAGACAACTACGTGATGTTTGCTTA